CACTAACCATTCCTGGAGCTTACACAGAGCTGGGAAGAAAGACCTTGTAATAAAGAATCCAGAAAGGGACACACACAGATATCATCATCTGTTTCTCAACAAAGATGCCAAGGCAGTTCATTAGGGAAAGGATAATCTTTTCAAGAAATCAAGCCTGAACCATGGTCTAGCCACATGTAGACAAATGAACCTCAGCCCTTACCTCATAGCAGGCACAGAAATTAAACTTGAAATAGAACATAGTCTTAAATATATGAGCAAAAATTATAAAACTTCTAAAAGAAAACATAGGAGAAAAAAATATTTTTGATCTCGGGGTAGGCAAAGATTTCTTAAATGACATTTAAAGCATAATCCACAAAACGAAAAGATTAGTAAATTAGACTTTACCAAAATTTAAAAATTTTGCTGTTCAAAAGATACTGCTAAGAAAATGAAAATGCAAGCCAGAGACTGGGAGAACATAGTTGCAAAACATATATATCTAATAAATATTGTATCTAGAATATACAATATAAAGAATTTCTTACAAGGCTACAGAAAGAAGATGAATCAATTCAAGAAAATGGACAAAAGATTTAAACAGTTCATCAAAGAAAGTATATAAATGGCAAACAAACACATAAAAAGACATCCAACATCATTAATATTAGCAAAATGCACATCAAAACCACAGTAAGATACCACTAAGCACTCATTACTGTGCCAAATTGTGAAGGACAGATAATATTAAGTAGTGGCAAGGACACAGAGCAGCTGAAACCATCTTATGTTGCTTGTAGGAATGCACCTTGGTACAGCTACTTTGGAAAACAACGTGTCAGTTTCTTATAAAGTTAAACATATATTTACCCCATGTCCCATAAATATATATTTACCATGTCTTTCCTTTTTATTTACCCAAGAGAAAGGAAAGCATATATCCACACAAAGACTTGTACTCAAATGTTGGTAACAGCTTTATTCATAATTAATATAATATGATATATTGATATATCTTGAATCTACCAAAATGTCCATTAACAGCTGAATGGATAAACAAATTTGGTATCTAGATGAATCTCAAAAAAAAAAAGCCAGATATAGAAGACTATTTATTGTAATATACCATTGCTATGAAATTCTAGAAAAGTCAAAACTATAGTAACAGAAAAGCAGGTTATAGTATTGTAACTTAAAGCAATATTTCCTATAAAAATCACATCAGTTAAAAAACCTAACAGACAACATTTTCTAGAACTATAGAAAAAAGAGCTTTCTCATACATGGATGGTGGGATTATAATTTGGAGGCCAGTTTGGAGGCCAATTTGCATTTGGCAACAGAAATCTACAAATATTGGTCTGAACCAGCAATTCTTCTCATGGGATTTACCCTAAAGCTATAATTAATAATCTATACTCAAGCAAGTTTATACAAGCAAAAAGTGTAATATTACCCAAAATAGCCAAAATGAAACATCGTTAAATAAATGATGGTATTAATAAATCCCTTAAATGGAATAGCATAGAGTGACATAAAACATCGTAAACATTGATAAACATTGATTATAAGTTGATAATAAAGACAATATCGACCTATTCCTCTTCATCCCCTTCCCTCCTCCTCCAACTTACCTATTCCCTTCCCTTCCCCTCTCCCTCTCCCTCCCTCTTCCCCCTCCCTTTCTCCCTCCCTTCCTTCCTCCCAAATAAAAAAATAAAAAAATAAAGACAATATCAATAAAATCCAAAGATTATATATTTTAAGACTACATTCTTTGATCAAAATTGCAGAAAACTAGAAATAAATAACAAAAGTATAAATAACACTATCATATAATTAGTTTATAAACTTTTGCCTCAACAAAGACAAAACAAAAATTGCAATTTTAAGCTGCTAAATACCATTTTAAAGACTGTGTATAAAAACCTATAGGGCCTGGCTGATGCTATATTGAGAGGAAAATACATGATTTTAAATAATTTTATCACTAATGCAAAAACAAAATAATTAAGGAAATAAAATATTTATTTCATAAAATTGGAAAATGGAAAAGAATAAAGACCAGCAATAGAATAGCAATAAAAACAAAACTTAATATTAGAAAAAACCCAGGAAAATGAATCAGATATAAAGAAAGCAGCGGAGAAGAAAGTAGAAATCTCTAGCTCTAGTAACTTCCTGAATTCTCACTGTCACCTCACCTTGGGTACTGTGAGATAACCCTATATTCTTATAAGATGTCTCACTTTTCTGTTTTACACAAATCTGAGGTGGTTTTTCTACGTAAATAGCCTTAATAACTTAGGAGTTGGGATACCAGATGCAGAAAGTATAAAGTATATGAATGGAATATTTGATTACATAGATATTTTTTACTTGAGTCAGCAAAAAAATCTGTACATATATAAAAAAGTATAAATATGATGGAAATACAAGCAATAAAATGAATGTATATAAACAAATACATATATATATACACACACACACACACACACACGACATGCAGAACTAATAAAGGCTTAATATCCTTACTGTACAAAAAAATCCTAAGTAGAAAAAAACCTCTATATATTAAATAAATCAACATTATAAGCAGAAAACTTGTGCCAATAAAAAACACACATTGGTAATGAGCACATTAAAATAAGTTAACCCTCAATGACTATAAAAAATGTGATGCCAACCAGCTAATTTTTGTCTCTCAGCTTGTAAATGATTGAAATGCTATGTGGGGGCTGCTGTGGAAATTGAGGACTCTAATGCAAAGGGCTGTTGGTCGGAATCTAAATTGGGGCAAACTTTCTGCTGGTGTGCACATATTTGTTGACTCAACAATTCCCCTTCTAAGAATTTAGCATGAGGAAACACCTAGAAAGGTTAACAACATTGAACATATAAAGAGTAGCACCACATTATGGGTACAGCACTGAAAAGCTGGAAACAACCCCAATGTCTGCCAAAAAGGATTTCTATAAATAGTGTTTACTTTGTATAATGATAAACATAATTTATTGACATGAAAAGAGTGCTGTGGCAAATTGTTCAGATTGTAAAAGGCAGGAGAATAAAATGGGACAGAGAATGGACTCAATTTTGATATAAATGTGTATATGATGCTATGACTTGAGTGGTTGTCCCCTCTAAAACTCATGTTCATGAGTTTCAATGTGGCAGTATGGAAAGGTGGGGCCCATGAATGGATTAATCTATTCATGGACTATTGGATGAATGGATCAATGGACTACCTTGGGAGTGGGACTAGTGGTTTTATAAGAAGAGGGAGAGAGACCTGAGTTAGCATGGTCAGCCCACTCACCATCCAATGTCCTGCATTGCCTTGGGACTCTCTGCAAGAATGCCCTCACTAGATGTGGCCCCTTGGCCTTGGACTTCTCAGCCTCCAAAACTGTAAGAAATAAATTCCTTTACCTTTTAAATTACCCAGTCTCAGGTATTCAGTTGTAGCAACAGAAAATGGACTAAGACATATGGGCATAAAGATATGGGTATGAAAGGCTTTCTCCAGCTATGAACAAACTTACTTCTTCCAGGGTGAATTATTTATGATATTTACTTTCTTCTTTATTCTTTTTCAGTTCCATTTGGAAACTTTTTTATAATGAGCATATACAATATTTGTATCATGATACAAAATTATTTTCACATTGGGAAAAGGGCCAGAAGGAAAAACTACTCAAATTCTGTCCCACCCCTTAAAAATGTGGTCAAAATAAATAGACTAAAATGGAAAAAATATCAGTTTTTCCAATATTGTACGTTTGTGTGAGGATGTATAAAGTGTGCATGCTCATTGTGTTAAGGGCATGGTGGGTATATTTGTACTTTTTCTAATGAGCACCTGAGCAATGAATGGCAACAGCTTTGGCAAAAGGCATTCACATACCTTGACTCACTTCCAGAAACCTAAGCAAGAAAATAATCAGAGATATGGACAAAAATGTATGCATAAGGAAATCTATGCATTGTTCTTTTTCAATCATAATTTAAAAATTGAAACAGCACGAATGTCCACAATGATGGAGTACATGTGTACATATCTCCAATAACTCATCCAGCATGTGTTTACTGATTGTCTACTTTATGCCAGGCTCTTGGGCTGCCCCTAGGATCTAGCTGTCCACCTCTGGGAGCACAGTATTGAGTTCCTCTAACAGGAAATACAACTGGCTAACTCCACAAATAAGTTAGGTGCTAGCCAAGAGAAGTGCAGGATGCCAATATGCATATGCAATATTACTTTATAATCAAAGAATTATAAGAAAGAAAGGGAATGCAAAACATGTTGTGGATGTCTGTTTATTGTCTCGAGAAATGATCTGTTAGCCAAGTGGGGGAGTTTTTCTGAGGAAATGGACCGGAAATGACCATTTATTAACAACGAACCACTCGACAGAGACGATGGAGGCATAAAGACCAAAAGCAAGATGGTCAAAACCACTTTCATCGGAGTACTTAAAATTGAAAAAGATGAAACTTCTCAAGTTATAATTTAAATATTATCCAAATATGATCGATTTAAAAGAGAACATGTTTAGTAATGAGGAGGTGTTAAAAGTAAGGAGGTGTACACTTTTCCCTTCCCCTCCATGGTATCTTTGACAAAGGCTCCCCCTCCTTAGGGGCCCCTTGGGACCAATCGTGAGGGTCAAATCACTAACCAGTAAAGCTATTCTTGAAGGAGTTGGGGCTTTGTGTTGTGGACTGCTAGAATCAGCAACATTGTGGGGTACAAATCCTCCACCCCCTTCTTATTTCGGAATGCTGGTCCTGTCCTGACATGGTAGGCTAAGCTTGCTTCCATGGCACGTGACAGAGGATTATAAATTAATCGTGCGATTGAGGAAGTCCTTGGGAAAACCATGCCTACCCCTTGTTCTTGCCGGTTGGCTGTAACCATAGCAACCCCTCACTCTGGACCAAAGTTCAGCCGCTGTAAAACTTTATGACCGTGTTCATAGTTCAGTGTTCATGAGCATAACGTTTCCTTAGGAAGAGTGAGGTGTCATATTTGACAACGAAGCGTTAGGCTCCATGTCTAAATACTAGACTCCAAATGATAAGGCCCCCAAATATTATAAGATCTTTGTGCTTTTGCCCTGGGGAACTTATTTTCCTGAGAAAATGCCAACCACAAAGAAAACATTGATGTTCCTGTCAAGCTTTTTCACAAGCTTGGGGTCTTTCGTGGTGATTTGCTCTGTTCTTGGCACACAAGCATGGGTCACCAGCACAATTGCCTTCAGAGACTCTGCCTCGAACGGCACCATCTCCCTCACCTACGGACTCTTCCAGGGCAAGAGCACTCAGGAATCCAGTCACGGACTTCAAGAAGCTGACAAATATTTTGCAGGTAAGTGATCAACTATTTTAATTGGTGTAGTGAGATTTAATTAAGATTCGCATCATTCTGTATTTGGGCCAAATAACCATTCAAAAATAATTTACTTGTGAGCTTTGAGTTAGGCTGAGGGCAGGAACCTAACTCATGACTCTGCAAACTCTCTGTGTCATTATTTCAGCTTTCTCGGCCCTGGCTGGCTGTTAGTACAGCAGTCTAAATCATTCTAGCTCTGCTGTGTTTAAAGGGTACCTTCCAAGTTTATTGACAAGTAAATAATAGAGTAAAGACATGTAGCAGCAATATGGTATTGAACAGACAGTAAGGCATTTTTAACTGTATAGACTGTGGCTTTTTAGTTGCAGCAACAACCTCTGTCCAGAATTTCATAAGTGGTGTCTATTCGGGGAAAACAATAAAATGGAAAACATGGTCCGATTTGAATTTGCATTCTTGCCTCGAAAATATCCAAAATTGTAGTTGAAAATTATATTAAATTTCCAGCAATTCTATTAATTGTATATTTTATTATTTTATTACTTATTCCTAAACTTTTTTCCTGATTCCTTGTATAGTAATCCCCTCCTCTCAATTGGATGGGAAATGAAAACTTCATTGAGAATGATAAGTTGATTTAGCTACTTCTTTGAATTTTGAGGCTTGGTATCTACCATTATGTTTTCTAAATTTAAAACAACATTGTAAATTATGCAACACATTAAATGGACTTTGTTTTGAACAGTGTTGTATACAGGTATTATACAGGCATCATTAGATATATTGTAGTCTTTACCTTTTGACTTACAAATATACATCATTTTCTACCTGTACAAATGTAATATCCAGTCCTTGTGTGATGCATAAGGTGGGAGTTTGGGCCTTAGACACAAGCTCTAGGTTCTAGCTCTAGTTTGCTTACGGCTTTGTTAAAGAAATTATTTCCTCACATCCAGAGCAGCCTGGTTACGTTCCCGAGTTATAAATTTGTCTCTTGAGTGTTAGTGAAAGCAACGTCTCCCCTGACATTCCAGCAGCCTTTCGGTGACACTCCTCTGCCATCAGCCTCAGCTTCCCGAGAAGATGAGGGACATTTGTTTTACAGCAACTAGAAACTGTGACTTTCAAAGACTGGGTCATACTTTCAGTTAGCATTTTCAAAACCAAAAAGTGCACTAGTTTCTGAAACCCCAGACACATCTAAAAAAACGAAAAGAACAGACAAAACCTACACGTTTTTTGGTTTTCATGTAGTGTCTGGTTGGAACCAATTGATTCCAATTTGACATAAGTGGCTTCAAAGGCAGCCCTGGCTGTCTGCATCCCGCGGAGGCCCCGAGGAGGCCGGCGCGGGTCAGGGCCCGGCTTTGAAGCCCTGCGCGCCATGGAGTATGGCGGTGTCAGGGGAGCAGAGGCGGAGTAGTCAGGGAGACCCCGCAGGGGGCCAGGGCCAAGGGGGCACGGCCGCCACGGGGCACAGGGAGGGGCAACACTTGCCTTGCCTCGGCCCGGCTCTCGGTTTGTGCTCTTTGTTGCTGGGAGCCACGTTCTAACCTCCTGCAAGCCCCTGCCCGACCTCCTGGCGCTGAAAAAGGTGAACCACCGCCCAGTTAGCAAAGGTGCTATGTTATTGCTCCGCTTGGCGTCCGGGGGCTTCTCAGAGCCTAGGGGGTCTTTATTGCCCTTGACTTTAGTAATCGTTGAACTTGAAAGGCTTGCAAACCGTTCTCTTAGACAGGGAGAGTCACGAACGTCTATCTGGTGGTGCTCAGCTGCTAACCCCACAGACGCTTCCCCTGAGCGCAGAGCTGCGGTGTTTACAGCCAGACACGGATGCTCTCCCACTGGCTTCTCACCACCGCACGGGGCTTATTTCAAATTAGAAACCAATCTTTGGCAGTACAATACAATCTGTGTAAGTGCCGCTTTCTTGCCCAGTGGCGGTGGATTGACTGCTCCCATGGAGAAGTTAACCATGCCAGCTTCTTGGCTAAGACGAGGTCACACTGAAAATCCTCCAAGCGTAATAAATACTGCAAAGCCCTGCGATATCTCTGCATAGGATCTATCGCATTGTGCCAAATTCGACTGTGGATTTTGAAATGAAAGATCAGAATGAAGTGGTGATGGCGGATTTCAAAGTGCCGGATTGATCCAGCCATCCGCAGGTCAGCGGTGGGGAAGATGATCGGCCAGACCCAGGCAGGAGGCTCTCCAGCGTGTAACTAGCTTGCTCCGCGGCTCAGGCTAATGGTGTATGCCCTAGCTTGCCCAATGTGCAGATGAAAAGTGACCGGTCCTGCATGTCCAGCCATGAGCAGATCGTCTTTGCTGCCCCCAGAGTTCCGTATATCTGAATTCCGTTCAAAAAAAACTTTCTGGAATGGCTGCTGTGTGAGTGAGGGGCTTGGAGACTGAAAGGAATCGCACCTGTTCCCAGCCGTGACAGGCTCACCGCCCCGTGTGAGAGAAAGACCTTCATCAGTTAAATCCGGGGCAACGGCGTGCGCAAGTCCCCACGAGCGCCAGGGTGGGGTGGGGACGCACGCTCGCAAAGCCTCCGTGGAGGACGGGACCCTGAGGAGCGAGTTGGTGGGAGGACGCAAGATCACCCTCGTGACAGTCCACCTCCTCCCCGGTGTCGGGTCTTGGGCGCCGCATAAGCAGGACCCTCGCACGGAAGTCATTGCTGTGACTTGGTGTTTTGAGAATGCAGCCAAGGTCCAAGGGCACAGTGTGCAAGGTTTCCTACACTGGCAATCATGGCAGATGAATCACTTGTGAGGACGTGGAGTTCCTGCGAACGTCATTTCAAGAATTACTCAGCTTACGCGCTGACCAGAACATGTATTTTTGTAGAATCATGTTGGCAGAAAAGGTTTTTATGAGAGATATTTCTGTTCCCGTGGCAATTGCATTGCATGCAGCTGACGGTACAATCGTCTGGGATGCTGGTGGAGTATCCCGGCGCTTGACCCCCTGGACCAGTGGCACAAACGTCTCAGGGGGTGAGGCCCTGACTTGTTTGTTTTTAAAAATCTTCCCGGGGGATTCTAATTCAGGGTTGACAACCGCCAGCTTCTGCGAAGGCCGGGCGCTACACTGGCCAATATGCATCGCTGCATTGGGTATTGTTTTTAAGCCCCCTGGATGTGGCCTGCTTGAAGTTAAACTAGCTTAGTGAAGAAAGCTCCGGACACAACCTGGCAAATATGCACCGCAGCAGGCTGAGAGCAAGCCTAGGACCCGGCTGGCCTCGGAGGGCTGCTTCTGCGCCACGACCCGCTGCAACAAGCGGGAGTTTCTCCTCCATCTGGCTTCCCCTGCCCGCCGGTCTCTTTTCTCCGACTCCCATGTGTTCTCAGGGAACTCAACATGGCACCATCAGCCCAAGCTAAAAATAATTAGGAAAATAAATCTGCTGCAGAAACGAATTAATTGCAAAGAGAAGAACAAGCGGAGTTTATTTCTCCAGAATCCATAAAGAGCTCCCACCCCATCCACAGAAGGATTGTTTTGTGGGGAGGATGATGCATCATTCGCCCCCAGAGATGTGACCACACTGGAGGTGGAAAGTAGAGAGAGCAAAAGAGGTGCCCCCCTAGGCCCAGGCCACTCTTCTCCCCAAGAGCACCCTGGCAGCTTTCCAAGAGGCCGGGGACACCAGGCCGGAGGACGGAGTGACGCGATGAGCTCCTCTGGTGGCGCTCTGCGGGCCACGAATTCAGGAGCTGCACCTGCTCAGGCGCCCTGGTGACGAGGTGCTTGAGGAGGGAGTGGAGGCTGTCTCCTCCCACCCACAAAGCCACCAGCTCTCCCTCAATGTCCGAGGACACAGAAACCCAGAACTCAAAGGGCAGATGGCCAGTGGGGAGCCCGGGCGTCCGGATGACTCTCATTTTTGTACATTATCCACCACCCGGCAGCTCATTTCTGCCTCCCAGCTGCGGACGCTGTTGGCCAGGCGCTGGTCTCTGTGGCCACACGTTGTTCTTGGCTCTTTCCTGAGGCTGCCGGAATCCGGGCAATTAGTTCCAATTGCGAGGCGGCTTTCCTGATTCAGATGCCTGCCCCCTAAAGGAAGAGAAAGAACGGAATGTATTTGCTAATTTTGTAGGCAGAGAGCAGCTGTCAGATGCTATGGGGTTTATTGTTATTTCATTCTCGCTAACTTTCACCGAATTTTCAGCTTTCATTGTCTGAGTTCCGAGCCAGGAGCTGGAGGGGAGATACAGCTGTCATACCCATGTGGCAGGGAATTCAGAAAGCTGAAAAATAATTTTAAAATGCAGAGCAGTTAAAATTAAGATAAATTGTCACCTTAACACACAGAAAAGTATGAGTCAACAGACTCCAAACTGACTCCCTTCGGGAAAACGACATCTATGAGATCTCACCGAAAGTCAAAAACAAGCTAAACTCAATCGCCGCTTTCTAATTTACTCTGAAAAAGTGGAACGTTAGCCATTTGCAAATGAGTATCCATTTATAGCTTTTAATAAGTGTGCAATGCAGAGAAATCCTCCAAGCCACTTTGGGTGCCTTGGACACAGGACTTTTTTTTCTCACACTGAAGTTTCCATTTCCTAGTTACGTAACCAAAGTATTTCTTACTGGTTACCAAACTTCGCTAAGGAGAGAGTCCATCTAGTCCCCAGCAAACTCCTGTTGAGATCCAGGAGTTTCCCCTTTCGTGCTCCATGGAGTGCAAAGTGGCCCCTCCTCGAGGTGACTGAGCGGGGAAACGCCTGCAGCCTCCTCTGACCTGTGCCTCTGGACAGGTGTGCCCTCCTTGCCCTCCTCGTTTCTTCCCACTCCCCACTGGTGTCACATTCCACGAGTCTCCAGACAGGTGTGCGCTAAATTATAGCAACGCGAGCCTCCCGACCCCTGCCTCCCCACAGCGAGCAGGGAGAGAGGCAGGGACAGTCCCAGCCCAGGTGGCCCCCACCCCACTCACCCAGAGGGCCCCTACTTCTGCCCCTCCCCGTCCGGGCAGCAGGCGGCGGCTGGCACGACCCACGCCTATTAGGGCTCTTACCGGGACTCATAGCAACAGGGCTGTGCTGGGAGTTTACCCACGTTCTATGGGTCATTAACAGAAATCGCAAAACTGTCCCGTCACCACTGAGTACAAGCAGCCGCTGTACCTGTGCGAGCTGAACTTTGCTCCCAGCCCGCAGTCCTGCTTGAGGAGCAGGTGTCCCCCAGCCAGGCTGGTGAGGTCATTGCCGAAGAACTGATCGTTTCTCCCTCGGTCTGCTCGGTGTTTAAGGGACCTGTGGCCACGGTGAAGGACGCGAGGCGATGTCCACATTTCCCTCTCCTGCCCTCTTCTCTCCCTTAGCCCTGTCTTTCCTGCAGTTTCCCGCTGCCCCTCTCTGCCCCGGCCCCTGCATTGCTTGTCACGGCTGCTGCTCTGGGCTCTGCAGGAGGCCTGTGCCACCCAGCACGCTGCTCTCTCCGGACTTGGGTCCCCACCGTCAGGCCTCTGTGCCACCAGCGCCTGCAGACGTGTCTCAGGTGCCCGGCTGCGGACCTGCCGGCCACGTCTCCTTCCTGCGGACTCTCCGTCCAGTGGGAGGAAACTCTCCCCCTCCATGCAGCGCTGCTGATTAGAATAAACCAAGATGAACAAATAGAGTTAAGATGTGCAAAAATGGAGTGAGGACATACCCCTTTCCAAGGGGACTGTCACATCTCACTGGGAGTCCTGTGTCCACCCGGCCTGCGTGCTTTGAGACATAAAGTCTAGATAAAGTGCGAGCAGGGGCGCGGGCCGGCAGGGGCTTTGCAATCCCTCCCGGCGAGGAACACTCCGGAGACGTGGGCCGCTGGTCACGCCATATCCCCCCTCACGCACTCGGAAAGGCTGCCAGGCAGGAGAGGAACAAGTGGATTTTGCGTGGTCCCAAAGCGGGAATGAAAGCCCTGGGTACAGTCTGTAGAGATGCAGACTGGGGCTCGGTACAATGGGAACTGTTTAAACAATGACAGGGACTCGGGGAAGGAAAGGCCACTTGAAAGAGCTGGCTGTGCGGAGGAAGGGACTTGGCGGCCCCTCCCGTGGGTGCTCACAGCACCCTGGGGTGTCCTGGCCCCCACGCCCTGTGCTTGGAGACACTGTGTTTCCAGAGGGAAGCCTGGAGTGGGGGAGGGACGCCAGAGGAATGCAGAGGCAGCTCCGCCCCAACCCGGGGACAAGACCCCCCAGCTTCTCTGCCTTCTGTTCTTTTTTTTTTTAAGACAGAGTCTTGCTTTGTTGCCCAGGCTAGAGCCAGTGCTGTGGCATCAGCCTAGCTCACAGCAACCTCAAACTCCTGGGCTCAAGCAATCCTCTTGCCTCAGCCTCCCGAATAGCTGGGACTACAGGCATGTGCCACCATGCCCGGCTAATTTTTTCTATATATATTAGTTGGCCAACTAATTTCTTTCTATTTATAGTAGAGACGGGGTCTCGCTCTTGCTCAGGCTGGTTTTGAACTCCTGACCTCGAGCAATCCACCCGCCTCTAGCACTCCCAGAGTGCTAGGATTACAGGCGTGAGCCACCGCGCCCGGCCTGCCTTCTGTTCTTAAAGCCGCTCTGGGCAGGCACCTGAGCGTCTCCCTGGCCCCCTCCCTGGGGACCTGAGAAACAGGATCGTAAAGAAAGAGCCTTTCTCTCGTTCTTCCCCAGCCCACTATGGTTTTATGCCTCGCCATTCCCACGATTTGCTGTTGTGTTACGACGAACTCTGAAATCTTTCTCCCACTCACTGTCCCCTCACATCCTGTGACCTCGTGGAACATCTCTGTACACAGGGTTTAACGTGCTGGCCGCCTCCTGGGGCCTGACCCGCCCTGCGGCCCTCGGCTCCCGGCTAAGTGCAGCCCCGCGGGGGCTGGCCCCTGTGCTGTCAACCAGGGAGCGGGCGTGGGGGCCTGGCGGTGGGCAGAAGCCCGAGAACGGCAAAAACAGGAACTGAGGCCTGACAGCCAGGGCACCTCTGTTTCATTTCACATACGTGTGGTTTCATGTCTGGGGCTCCTCTGCCCTTAAGAAATATGCAAACTTTATAAGATGCACTTAGAATTGGGAAGAACTTACCTTGGAGAGAAGCCTGAAGCTCACCCAAGGGCCGAACTCCCAGCGCCTCCAGCCTCCAGCCCCCTGCGTTGGGTCCAGGGACGCGGCCCCTGGAAGCAGAGCTGACACCGCGGTTTGCTCCCGGAGGTCAGGCTCCTGTCTCCACGCCAGCCTTCGCCCTCACCCGCCTGCACGTTGTGGGCCCTTTCTCTCCCGGCTCTCTCTACCGAGGGCCACCCCCAGCTCACGGTTACCCCGGAAGCCACGGGGCTTATGGCTTATGGCTCCTCACTGTGCCCAGGTTTTCAGGGCGACCCACCTTGCAAGGATCTCCACGTGGAGGCCGAGTCAGCGCTCACTCAGGGCAAAAGGGACACCAGCTGTGACGGAACGGTGTCCAGTCCAGCCCCGCCGCGGGCATCAGGAAGGGCGCACTCTCCCCTGGGAGACTTTACAACTGGGATGAATATGGAGTTATGTGAAGCACTGTGGTCATACTCATCCGACCACAGATTGAGTGACGGGCCCGCAGCGGGGATGCCGGCCTTGCTCCTGCCTGACTCAGAGGTGGTGACATCTCTAGCTGACACGTGACAACCACTAAACTCTAGGACCTGAGAGGGGAGGTGGGCCAGGCTAGAGCTGGCACTCGCACTCACCAGACTTTGTTTTAGTTTTAGGGCTACTGAATAATTCTTCCCCCAAAACTCTGCACTTGGTGGCTGTCCTGTTCCTGGTCCTCAGCCTGTTCGCCGCGCTGCTGAGTTCCGGGCTCACCTTCTACAACAGCGTCAGCAACCCCTACCAGACGTGCCTGGGCCCCGTGGGGGTATACACCTGGAACGGGCTCTGCGGTGAGTATCCCGGAAGCCTCGGGCTCCACGGAGAAGCGCACCTGCCAGTCTCCCTCTCTCTGCCCCTCCTCCCACCTGCGAGCGCCTACAGCCACCTTCACACGTGGAAACTGTGAGAACCTGGCTCTGACGCTGGGGTCTGGGGCTTTTTTTTTGGTCAATTTATAGCATTTATTAAGCATCTCTGGAAACAGAATTCTGTTTTAAACTCAATGGCTTATCACATAAGCCAGCCTTTGCTTTTGAGAATCTAATGTAAGGAACCCAACAAAACGCACAAAAAGTCAACAGAAAATCCACTAGGCTCCTGCTTTGTGCTTAATTCCAAACTAGGCTCCATGTTGTATGTGGAAGCACACAGGTGCACACACCTGCACACACCTGTACACACATACACCCGTGCACACACTTTGCTTTTTGCTTCCATGTTACAAGAACCATCTTGGGCTCGAACAGGACACATCTGCATGGTAGTGCCACAGAACCACAAATAATGTCATTGAAGAGAATCTGGGGCCGACACCGTTCTTGGGAGCTGCCTGTGAGCCCAGGGCGCTGCTTGGTTATTTCGCACGTCTCGTGGGCAGGGTGCTGGGCTGCGGGTGGAGCCCAGATGGGAAGTGGATGCAACTTTGACTGGCTGTGTTCTAGGCTCTCGCTGGGCTTGGCCAGGGCCCTGCAGCCACCACATCTGCCCAGAGGCAGGGCCAGTGGGGCTCCTCTGCCCTCCCAGGCCGCCTTCAAGGGCTTGGCCCTGCGGGCAGCCAGGTTTCTCCTGCTGTGTCCCTCTCTCTGCCAAGGACTCTGCCCACCTTGGAGCTGGGGCTGGGGCTGGCTCAGCCCCGGGGGTGAGTGGGGCAGGACTGCATGCCTAGGAGAAAGGCTGGCCCCGGTACCAGAGCAGAGGGCCAGATGTGGGGCTGGTGGAACCCAGAGGCCTGGCATCGCCGTGTCCACAGCCTGCAGGCCAGAGCCGGCCACCGTGTTCCACGGACCGTGGCCTCCCACCTCTTCCGCGCAGCTGGGTGTGGGCTGGCTCTGCACATGGCAGGTGCCCGATGCCTGTGTGTGTAGGAAACATGAAACACAGGGGCCAGACAGCCTCCCCCCAGCCCTGCCTACTTCTAGCAACAAAGAATTATTTGACAAGGAGAGAATTCCTGCCACATTCCTCCCCTGGCTCAGGGACAAGTTCTAACACACAGGAAGAGGCTAGGAGGTGGGCAGAAAAACAATCGGAGAGGTTGTCCTGTTCTGACACGGGCCTGGGGGAGGCTTTTTTGCAGCTTTGGCCTCTCAAAATGCCCCTCAGGGCCTCTTGGTCCCCATGCTGTGACAAGCCAGCCTTTGCCCTGAGTTGCCCTTTGGGGACCCTGATCTTTGCAGGAGCTCTGAGCACGGCGGGAACTTAGTGAAAACTGCTAACAGGAGTCCCAGCCCGTACAAGGGCTTGTGTACAGAGATGCCGTAGACCGCGGTGCACCCTTGCCTTGGGCCATTGGAGCGGCAGGGCAGGTGGGGGCAGGGCAGGCGACTCCTGGGAGTCCTGGGGCCAGAGGGGAGAGCTGCAAACCCCACGGGGCCCCCCATGAACAAACGCTCTGGGCTGGCAAGCGCTGGGTGGGGAAGGAAGTGGGTTTCCCAGCCTGTTTCTGATATTGTGCTTTGAGGAAAAAAACAGCAGCGTCACCTCCCAGGGTCTTGTGCCGGCCGAGCGCAGCCCACCACCTGCGCCACACTGGTGTGACGGACCCTGGCAGCAGCGGGTAAACCATGGACTGAGAGGAGGCTGGAACCAGAGGGCGCGTTGCAGATGGTGTGTGTGTTCTAAATACGTTTGTGCCTCAGCCCAGGAGCCAGAGAGCAGACAGTGAGGCAGCAGGTCACACAGCCTGATGGTCGCAGGCGGGGACAGAGCCCAGTGCCCCCCAAGCCTTCTGGGAGCTCCTCATCTATCCCAGGGCTTCCTCCTGTCCCCGGTAACCTCCGATCCCTGAAATCTGGAAAAACCGTGCAGTTAGGGGCTCTGGGCATCTCGTCCCTGAAAGGGACTCGAGTTAGCATTTCCTGGCTGTGTGTCGGCCCCTCCCGCCTGGAATCAAAGCTCTGGGCAGCCCACTTTGGAAAAAGCATTTAGTCCTGTATTCATCCTGCCCCTTTATGATTAAGCTTTTATAAGAAACTTCACAAGAGGAAAATGAAGGATAATTAAGGCCGTGAGGCACCCAGAGAGCGTCGGAGGGCCGGGGCTTTTGTATGTGCAAATTATTAAGAAATAAAACCATGACGGTGAGGACGAAGGTCTGTCATCAAGGACTGTTAACATTCTCCTCACACGAAACCCCTCTAATTAGGGCCTTTTGAAGGACCGTTTGGACGGCTTCCCTGGGTGTGGGGTACGGCAGGACACATGTGATGCCAAAACGCCCATCGGGTCGTGGGTACGAGTCAGGGGATGAGGAGTCCTGAAGGACCTCCGACTGGGGGCTCCCCTGACGGCCACCCACGCACGGTCAGACCCGCTGGGCGAGACGGCTCAGCTGCCCCCTCTCGAGTCTGGTGGAGCTTTGCATGATTCACATGCCATCTATGACCCATGAAAGCCTACAAGTCAGCGGTTATTAGTATGTCCCCAGACATGTGAATTTCAGAATCCTTTTTCATCATCTCAGAGAGAAACCCCATGCCCTCGGCCATCACCCCTCCCAGCCCACTCCCAGCCCCAAGCACCCGGGAATCTGCTTTCGGCCCCAGCCCAGCCCCTTTGGGGGGTGAGGACAGAGGCCCCGAGAAGCCACGCGGCACACCCTGCTCTCTCTGTGACTCCAGAGCTACATTCTTCTAACTGGACCAAGTGGCTCTCCAAAGTCTGCAAACATTTAGAGAACTAGAGAATGTTCTCTACTGGAGGGCACGGTGAAGAATGAAAAACAGAGGATTAAAAAAAAAATAAATTCTCTTCTGAAATAAGTTTAGTAGGGAGATTTTTCCCGGTTAAACGCTGTGCCCCATGGCATCGTATGGAATGAACCTCAAGCTCCAGAGCTGGCATCTGTGGCTCTCCAGGGCTGACCCAGCTCCACCTCCAGTGCGGGGGACACCGGGGACCTTGCCCAGGCAGCCGAGCTACCTCTTACAGTCCCGGACGCTGCCCGCTCACTGCCCGCCTGGGTCTCTGTGGAAGCTGCTCCTTCCACCTGCGATGCTGAGTCCTCCCTCAGCCTCCCTCAGTCTTGCCCATCCACCCAGACCTCCCCGGACATGCCTGCGGACTCTCCTATCTCTCACTCCGTCACCCAGCACACCTGCTGCACACCCTTCCCCAGAGGCCGGGCTGTTTAGTAGGCCAATCACGCAGCAGGTACTTCTGCAGGGATTTGAGCTGGAGGGTTTGCTCTCGTTCACACACAGCCCTGCACAATCTTCAGCATTTCGTGCCTAGAAATCTGGTCTGCGCCTTAACATTTCTTTCACGCTCTTGCTAATGCTTAAAATAGCGTAGACGCCGGTGTGGATATTCCACGAATGCCCGTAAGAGAGTGTGTTCCATAAAGAAACTGCGTGACGTTGAAAGGTGTGTCACCGCGTCACTCACGAAACTTGATTGTCTTTCCAGCACTGTTGGTTTTCGTGGCCATGATGCTGTTCGTGGGGAACACGCAGTCCAGCCAGCTCTCGGAGGTGCTGCTCCACGCCCTGTACCCCACGGTCACCAGTCAAGGGATGACCCACCGTTACGGACACTCCTTCTGGCTCATACTGCTCGTCCTTCTCCTAAACATCGTCACCGTGGTCATCGTCATTTTCTACCAGAGGGCCAGGTACCAGCGGAAGCAGGAGCACAGGAAGCCCATGGAGGTGGCCCCGAGGGACGGAATTCTGTTCTGAGTTCCGCCTCTCGCCGCTCGGCGACATGCCTGTTCGGTCACCGGTCAGCTTACCCGGACAGTCGGCGTGGTGAAGTGACCCTCACTTGTGACAGCTTTTGTGTTTCATGACTTTATGCTCTTCATAGATTCTGTGCCCCTGAAGAGAGTGTTTCCCACGAGCTTGGGGAAAGCAAGTGGGGAAAGAGGTCAGTCTCTGTAGCAGTAGAAGGATTCTGAGTGAGTTGGACCCTCCTGGCCTGGTCTTGCCTCTGACATAATAAAGGTTTGTGTTTGCATCTTTCCTTCATGTCGTGGGAGCACTGTAGCACCTGTGATCTCCTTCTCGTCAGGAGGGACGTGCATCTTTATTCCACTCTGTGAGTGGAGACTCCCAGGTACGGACAGATCGGAGCTTGTCCTTCCAGCAGGACCGGGTGCTGCAGGCAGGACAAGGGACTTTGGAGTAAACGGCTTGGCCCTGGGGACCCCCAGTGGCCGACATGACTCACGCCCAGTGGCAGGTGAACGTGCTGATGTGTGACCCTCAAATACATTTCTGAGGTTCCGAGATGAGGTTTATGAAAGAGAGAGATTAGAAATGAGAAGATCAGAGAAAGATAAAAATTATAGCCCTGTGGTCTGTATGCCAAAGAGGCTAAATCTTATGTTTTTTGGTTTAGCAGGATTTTGGTGAATTCAGTCAAAATGGAAATGGAACATTGCAGCAGGTCTTAGCAACCACCCCCTCTGCTTCGTTGCTGCGGTGTAGACGTTGGTGGAGCTGGTCAGAGGGAGGGGGCCACCCACCAGCAGACTCCTGCCCGGCCGGAGACTGAGGCAGGCTGGGGGCAGAGCGCCACAGCAGGCCGGCGCTCCCTCCCATGTCAGGGGGGGGCAGACGCGGGACACAGGGCGGGGCAGCCCTGCGGGAGCACCCTGGGTGGACGCACGCACCTCCTGGCTTCATGAGAAGACAGTGGGCAACCAGGAAACTTTTTAAAAGGCACCAAAATGGATTCAGTCCACTCTGCCAGTAGGATATCTTCCCAGGAAATCACTTTGACAACGTTTCCAGCCTGGCTATTCCACAGGTCAGCCAGGTTGAACATTGGTAGGGTTCCGAACGATTACCTTTCACGTCTTGATGGAACCATAGCCAAAAGGAGCAGAATTTCTTGGGTGTAAATTTGTAGAGCAGCAGCTCTTTGGACAAAGAATATATCACTTATGAAGCTCTCAGGGCATAATGACCTTCTTACTTGTGATTTTTTTTTTAAGCATACTTTCTTAGAGATAATATTTTCCATTCAAGAACTATGCATTGGGTCTACCTGATGTGGCTAGCACAGTGCAGCTAACTGGGGTATCTGTTCCTCCGGAGCTTACTGTCGGGCAGTCAGGACAGACGTGCAAAAAAGCAGTTACTAAGTTTCACTTAAAACAGCTACTTAGCCACAAAATTGTGCTGGTTCTTTGGAAGGTCAGTTCTCTGTTACCTCCCACCCTCAAGCCCTACCAATTCAGAGTTACTTTGAATAGTAACTTATCATGAAACTCTGAACATATTTTAAAATATCTTCTGAGCATATTTTAGAATATCTCATCAACAGTGAAGGTTTTCTAAGTTCTTTGAGTCTATACTAGAAACAGCTATGTTCTTTACAGGTTTAAATTTTATATTCGATTTTGATAATGTGGTAATAAGTAATAAAGAGGAAAAGATACAGGTGACAAACCCAAACGGCATCGTACAATGAAAAGAGCACTTCATTTATTCATCCCAGAGTTCAGGCAGAGCTTGGTTTCCTCCCGGGAGAAGTTGTCTTAATCCTTATATCACAAATGACCTTTAAGGATACATTCAAAACACAGGAGTCGAGAACAGCTCTCTTAATCTGGCTGGAGGTAGAAAGTGGTGAAACTAAGGAGCATAGTCAGTAGGAATCCTGTTAAGGAAGAATGAGACTTTGTGCTGTTCACAAGCACAGGTGGCATTGAAGGGCACGGTACGACCTCCTTGTCCCAGCCTACAGGATGGGTCTTTCAGTGACCATCCATGGCACAGTGAGGCAGACTAACATGGTTTCCAAAGAAAAAATTATTGTTTGGATAGTAATTTGCTATTTTAAAACTATTTAATAAATGCGCCTTATCTTATATTTGGTGTGACGGGGTCACTTGGAGTCACCTGGAACACAGTTTTGCAGGAGCCTGAACTTTCTATAGAATTAGAATGTCTCAGGGGCCAATGACGTGACCCCTACCTAACCTCATCTTGTTACGATGAGCTGGGTTCATCCCTATGTGCAAAATAAATAAGTTATGTAGATTCTTGTGCTCTTCATATAGTCTCTGGTGATAACTTTGGAGAAAGCAATGCTTTACACGAAGGTCAAAGTGCCTGGGCAGCGAGCTGAAGTTTGGGAAGCACGTCGGAGGCAGGAGGTGACCCCCAGGGAAGCTTTGCTACCGTCATCGGAACTGTGTTTGATCACGGCAACAAACCCTATGGCTTAGGCAGGGCAGGGAGCACCGTGTCCCCGGAGATGACACCTCACGGGGATGTAAAGAGCGGTCCTTCAGCCGCCCCGCCTGGCCGTGCCCGGCCGGCCCCTCGGAGGCTGCGCTGGAGTTGCAGGTCCACACATCAGTGGCCTCGCGCCTTCTGAGGCTGCTCAGCCTCTCAGAGGCCTGGACGCTGCAGACTCTGCAAGTGGTGGGTGGGTGCCCAGCAACGCTCCAGACTGGGCTCCCCCTGCCCGCCCCACACCTGCCAGCGCGCCTCTTTCTCTTACGCCGGAACCAGATTGTCAGTGTAGACGTGAAGCCGGGTTCCCAGATGCCTAAGCTGTTGTCTGTCTACACCCTGGTCAGGGACACAGGCTCGGCGTTTGGGCGTCAGGGATGGCTCAGAGTCAGGGGCCTTCTGACACTGACACTCCAGCCTGGAGAGAAGCCGGGGCGCGTTGGCCGCACCCTTCTGGACTCTTCTGCCCCAGGGGCTCGGGCAGATGAGGTCCTTCGGCCAGTGGTGTGGAAGGCCCACCCCCAGGACGACCGAGAGTGTGTCTGCTCTCTAACCCTCGGCCCCCCCCTCCCCAGAGGTCCCAGCTTCCCAGGCCCCGGGCACAGCGGAGGCGCCCTGGCAGCGGCTCTGGCACCTCGCAGTCGTGAGAAGCCAGCAGTCGCCGCCACTCTCTGGGCTTGCCTTTCTTCATGAATAAAAAATAAACCATAAATAATAGAAGCGACAATCAGTGTAGGATTAAGCAGGGGAAGTTCTGGAGTCAGGCCGCCTGGGATCTGCTACTCATGACTCAGAGAAATAACTTAATCTCAACGAGCCCCATCTGCGGGGTTTTAAGCATCTGTGAAATGGGGCAACGGTGGCCGGTTAGTGCGCGGGGCTGCCGTGAGAGTGAACGAGGTGACCGTGCCCTTGAGAACTGGGGGCCACCCTCCTCCTTCACAGAACTGCAAGGCTGAGACCAATGCCACCACCCTCAGCCACTGCAGGCCACATCGGTGCTTTCGTCCTGCAAACACACGAGCAGTAAACAGAAAGCATACGCCCAGTGCGGCTAGCGGACTTGCTGAGGAGTGGGAAGCTGGCGAGCGGCAAGGCAGAACTAAAACCAGGTCTCAGGGCCTTTGCTCCTGGGGTTTGACCCGTTCCACAAACATTCGTCGTGCATCCAGGGCGGGGAAATGCGGGGGGCAGACAGGGATGCAAGGACCTCTGTCCCAGACGGGGAGTGCGGCATTCCTGGTGTGCCCCACAGCGGCTAAAAGTCTCACCCCTTTGTGGATGTCACTGTGGGTCTTGCTCATTCAGAACGGAGAGAAGCAGCTCGCTCAGGCAAAGCTTCTGATCTGTTTCCGATAATTCCGCAGGCGGCCCGGGTGCTACCCGAGCTGGGGACGGAGGAGGACTTTGTGGTCCTTCAGTGAGAAAGCTGAGGCTGGGGTACTCCTGGCGACTGGGGCGCTCCTGGCGACTGGGGCGCTGGGTTATATTAAAGCTGTGCCTGAGAGGGAACAGAGACACGTGGGATGCCTGGGCAACGTCAGGTGGCACTAAAGGTGCCATAGACACACGGGCACCCTTTGTCCTGCTGGCAGAGCCGCCGGCTCTGTGTCACTGTGCTCCTGCTGTGGGTTCTCCTGCCGCCCGAAGACAGAAAAATAACTACAGCACTGGCTAGGATTTCAGACGATGTCCTGGTTTAAAAGAAAAAAAAAAAAAAAGATTTGTATTCGTGACAGACTTTAGATGGCAAAAGTTTTATATTTAAAATATTTAAATGGTTAGTAAAAAGAAAAAAAAGTTTAGGTAGATATGCATTGTGTTTTATGTGTCTATTTATACATTTATGTATTGTGTAATTATTTATATAGTTTTAAACAAGCTGCTTTGAAGAAGAGCACGCCTCCTACGTCTTGGCTCCCCTCCTGCCAAGAGGAGGGCAGACTTTTTATTTGTAACCTTGACCTTTAGTGGAATGACCTGCTTGCCTGTCTACCTTGAAACACATCACTTCTACAAAGGGTTCAGTTCATACAGATCAAATCCCAGTTCCTGTAGGGGGGCTTCTCCCCTTCTCCTTCGCTGTGGAGACACAGCGGGTCGCACCGAGGATCTTCCGAAACAGAGAGCGGATCCTGGCCCTCACGGCTCTGCCAGCGGCAGTGACCATGGCCACTGATGTTTGCTGTTTTCCGAGAGCCGGGCCTCAGGTGTGCCCGCCGCAGGTGCTGTACAGTGAGACTGCACTGAATCCTCACAAGAGTGTGTGTGCTTTACAATTAGCCCCGTTTTATAGATGAGCCACTGAGGCTGAGATGGGGTAAGTGGAGTGTCATCATCCCACAACAGAGAGGCCTGGCAGAGGTTCAACGTTCCAACGCAGACCCACCTGCCGGTGTCTCCTGAGAGGGCCCTGGCTGGAGCCCATAACCTGACAGTGGCGCCATATGTATGCATAAAAGGGCTGTGAAAAGTCTGCAGGGCACATCCAAGTGCCAGACCTTGGCCTCCATCACCTGCCCCCAGGCCTGTGTCCTATTGAGTAACCGAGTGTGCTGGATTCTTGCAGTACATGATTCACTTTCTATATTTTTTGGTGGGCTCCATTATGTTTTCACAAAACTCTAAAACCATAGAATAGTTTGCAATACATATTTATGTTTACTAATTAGAGATAGGGCCTAGCTCTGTCTCCCAGGCTATAGTTTAGTGGCACAATCATAGCTCACTGTAACCTCAAACTCCTGGGCTCAAGCAGTCCTCCCACCTCAGCCT